AAGATTAGCCACAAGGTAATTCTCTGGTGCTCTCCAGTTCATCAGCTGGTTTGCATTTTGTTAATATTATTTTATTTGAATAATCTCTATAAAGATGATTCTCCTAAAATATATGCATTTTAGATATGTTTGGTCCTCTACACTTTCGTCAAGTTTCACTTTTATCCCTTAAGTTTAAAAAGTGTATTTTAAATTTCTTAATCTTAACACTGTTAGTCTTATTTAACAAAAACGTTTACTCAGCAAGTTTAAATGGCGACTCTACCTTCAAAAAGGAGGAAGCATTTCATGTATTGATGGTGAAAAGATATATTAATATATATGGTGGTTGTTGGGAATGTGCCATTGATACTTGATAACGCGAGGAATGTTGACATAATTCTATTTTTAAATTCATCGGCATAAAAAATGTTCAATAATTGAGAGTGAAGTCATGCTCAATTATTACATATTGGACAGAAATGTTGATGACGGTATTGAAATTGAAATTGGGCAGCGCAGGTATACTCGGGAATTTTTATTTTATTTTTTAAAAAGAAGTTTATGAATTTAGGCAGGTTTATGTCGCTGATCTTGTTACACCCACACATTTGTTTAATCAAGTCAGGTTCAAATATTCGTTGAACTTAATTGGAGATACTTCTTTTAAAAACACTTTTTGTGTTCATAAAAACTCAAATTTGAGACGTTGTATTTAAACAATCAAAACTTACTACTACAAAATTTGACTTTCTTAATGCTCGATATTTGTTTTCCGTTTGAATAGAGAAGTATCAACCAACAAGCGCTTGGATCGACTACTTAACAACTGGTCTTGTGCTCGAGTCCTGGATACGTAGCCGTGATAATTATTCGGTGGTAATGAGACTCCGCACATTGTGGGCCCACAATCCAGCGAACCGGACTAGTCTTAGTGTCGGATACCAATGAAGAAATCTTAAAAATAGAAAAATATCAAGCAACTTAAGCGGAGTTGATATTTATTTGATGGTTATATCTTAACCACCAAATAAGTGTTATTCAAAAAAAAAAAATCATCAAACGTCTTTTTCTTTTTTTTTGAATTTTGAGAAATTTATAATTAGTTCACAGTTCTCAAAAAACAATTGTCAAATAATTAAAGCCAAGATTTGGCTTTTTTGGGGAAAAAAAATTGTCAGACAAATTTATGTTTATTTGTTTTCTTTTTCAAACCAATGTGTCTCATCTAAATTCCCATTATAAGCCCCTGTAATAACGTATGTTTTCACTTTTCTCAGATGCTTGAGCTTTCTCCCCCATAATTTTCTTTTCCTTTCATCATTATTTACTTAATAGTCAATATAATGGTCGATGGTATTTTATTAGTTTACATGCAAATGGTGCATTAAATATAGGTAATTAAAAATTGAACATTAATTTGGTATCTGTAGTCTTGTCCAATTATAAAATCAGTCGATAGACTTTAATTTTTTAATGGGTTGGCCAAAAAAAAATTAGCGGACACCGTGTAAGATGTTAAGGCCTCCTTTCTATAATTTTTAAGCTGACTGTGGACATATTACTTGTCAGCTCTTTGGACATTCGTCAACCGGAACACAAAGTTGACTTTGTCGTAGAAATTGGTTATTTCTAAGCATTTATAAATTATAATTACATGTGAAAATTTGGCTTAAAAAAAAGAAATACATGTGAAAATAATTAACAGATCCAAAATAAAGGATAAATAATATGTGAAAGTCTTTTTTAACGAATTTAATGTTTATGGTAAGGGTTAAGTAATCTAGCTCTTTTATTTTTTAAATGCGCTGTCACTTCGCATCGCATGAGCATGGATAAGAGTTAAATTGTTAGATATTGTTTTAGTTTTATATAAATTTATGATATATTTTTTAAATATTTTTTTGGCCAATTATCCTTGGAGTGCTATACACCAACAAAATACATTCTGATTTGATAAAATTAAAATAAATAGAGTACTAATCAAAATTCCAAAAAAATGATTTTTGAATTTTAAAATTTTAAATTAAGAATTACGATAAAAATATATCGTCATTTGCTTTTCGAGGATAATTATTTTCTTTACAAGTGTAGTAACTAGTAATGATTTGGAATTTTGAAATTTAACATATTTTCTTTAAAATTTATTTTTAAGTTTCTTGGTCAAGAATAGAGTCAGAAAAACAGATAAAGCCCGTCGGGTCGACCCGTTTAAGCCTAAAAATTATAAGGGTTGAGCTTGCAGTTTTGCCTCTCAAATGGGAAATAGACCCTACAGGGCTAGCCCTGTAGGGCCAAGGGTTTAAACAGATCGACCCTACAGGACCAAGGATCAGCGGGTTTATGCTCTATTATTTTTTTTAATTTTTTTGTGTAATTATAATATTATTAATTTTTTACATTGCTAATGATATTTTAAATATTTAGTTATTATTATCATTTCAAAATTAAATTTCACGAAATGATTTGATTTATTTAGTTTTAGACAATAATTTGTCTAATTAAATTTTTAAAAAATAGGTCAATTTTAGATTTTAATAATGATTTGATTTATATCATAGATGTTGATATTTTTAAACTATATATATTTGATAAGAGAGTATTTTTATACTTATATAACTTGTGATTCTATAATTTGAATTAGAAATTTATGAGTTTTGACAACAATGTTTCTCAAACTAAAGTGAAATAATAGCTAGATTGTAAAATTAAAAATTAAAATTCTTATAAAGAAGAAAAACTTGATATTTTTGTTACGAAAGAAAAGCATACTTATTAAGAAGAGTAATTGATTATAGTGATAATGAAGTTTCAAAAGATTAATGATAGTATTTTTTTATTACACATTTGTACTATAGATGAAACTTTTGGATGTTATTATCTTGTTAATAAATGTTTTAGATATTCTTAGATGTTGATGGATATTTATATATGATAATATTTTGTATTTATGACTTAATTTTATTTATATTTATGTCTTTTATTAATAATTTTATTAGTTTATTTTCTTTTTTTTAGATAAAAAATATGAAAAATATAAAAAATAGTATTTTTTCTTAAACGAGCCGAAAACTTGCGGGCTAACCCAGAACCCATTAGCTTAAGGGCCGGGTATAGCAAACTTTATTCCCACCTCTAGACTCAAGAATATCCTCCAGCCGAAAAAGTTCAATTCAGATTTTCCCACGCTTTTTCATGAAATCATTGACAACAGAATGCTTCCAGTTGTTTCTTGTTCATCATTTTACTCTCACCGCAGTCAAGAACGTTGGAAAATGGCGTCCTTTTAACCGGAAAAACAGCCCAGAGCCACCGGGACGGGTGGCTGAAAATTGCAGTGACGGCGACATGGGAGTCTATTAGTGGTAGTGAGGCGGGTCGGGTAGGTTAACCCGTCCCACAAAAGAAGACGGGCCACATGACATCGTTTTGTCGTGCTGGATGGCCTCTTCTGTTGTGTCCAAAAATGGGCGCCATCCAATGCCCATGAAACGAACTGTTTCACTTAAAAGGCAAGTGGGCCAGACGGGCGTCATGGGCCTCTGCAACTTTGTTCAATTTTATCTAATTTTACTCAGTTTTCAGTTTGGGCTGCGAAAATTTGGATTTTTCGTTTATTTACTTGTTCATTTCTGCCTTCCAATTGGACCTAAATCTTTGGGCTTGTGAAAATTTAAATTATTTCCTGTTTTTGTTTCCCGCGAACTGGACCAAGTTCATTGGAGCTTCCAAGATCAAATTAATTTATAAAATTCTGGTTTCGTTAACATTGGGATCTACCAATTTTCTTTCCTCATTTTTTTCATTTATTTTCCAGATGGGGCCCATTTTGCTTTAATTTCAGAAACTGTTTTCGCCACGGAAATTATTTTAATTTCTGGAAAATTGGAACTTGGTCCCCTGCTTTTCTGGGCTTTTCATGTTTTTCGCAGAACCGCCCCTTCAGTTTCTGGAGTTTTTGTATTAAAGAAAGGGGGGCACAGTGAAGTGGACATTGCGCTTTTGGACCCTTGTTTAGTTTGTTCAGTTCATTTCTTGAGAAAGTTTATTTGGGCTCATATTTGGTTATTTGCAGCCGAGAGCCATATTGCGTTAATTTACAGTATTTTGTTATGCTAAATACGCAGCAGCTGTTTAACACATGGACTATTTTATGTGCCATTTAAATTGTTTAAGTATAACAGAAATCAATTTGGCTGTTTTAACATATTGGAAAATTTTGCAAAATCCTTTTGCCCATTTTTTAATTGTTTAAATATTTTGTTTGAGGTAATTATATATTTGTTTGAATTTTTCAAAATTATATTTGAGTTAGAATATGCTGAATTTGATTTTTAAACAATTTTGGGTGCATAAAATAGTGGAAGAATTTAATTTTAGTTATTTAGTCACTTATGTTGATTAAATTAATTGGTTAAGTTCTCTATTACGTTGTGCATATATGAAATTTAAACACATATAGTTGACAATTGTGATTAGCGTGGAGAGTTGATGAGGAGTAGTCACAGTATTTCTTTTATAGTGCATGCATAAATAATCACATATTGATTTTAAAATATCAACTATAATCAATGAGCAATCATAATTTGATCACATAGATGATTTAGTTAATCCAATTAATTAGTCAAAACTCTCATTGTACTGTGTGTATATGGAATTTAATTATACCTATATGATATTGGTGATTAGCATACATATTTTGTTTAAGAAGTAGACATGGCATCCTTATACACATGTTCTATGTATAGACAATCACATGTGGATTTAAAATATCAATTTTGTTTAAATGTATAATTAATATTTGTAATGATTTGATGTCTTTGTGATGCGCATGTAGAGTTGAGAAGTAGCCATGAATGGTGAAGTTTTATAAGCGAGGTTGAAACAGAATAATAATTATAAAACTCAAACAACAGTATGATGGAGCAAGGGTCTGCTTACACATATTATTCCAAACGGAAAAGAAATAAAAACATGAAATTACGCACAAAAGTGATGAAGGAATAATACAAGAAATTCACTTAATTTCGGTACTCAATGGGACGAGTGGCCTTGAGTCTCCAGGTAGGAACAGGGCTACTGCTAGACAATGTGGGACCAATGAATGTGGGGATTTGGCAAACAACGAAAATGATGATCAGCAATGACATCACAATATAAAGTTCAAGAGTATGGGACGACTTTTGACTGTCATCATCCAGCGTGAAGAAATAGCCACCACAGAAAGAGATCCATAAAGAAACAATGGAGGCAAACATGGAGCACATGCCAAAGTAAAGTTTGATAGGAACATGTTTCCAAGAGTGCACAGATTGGGAAGGAGAAGCAACTACGGTTGACAAGAAGCAAATGGTAGACACGAGGGAGAAGGACAGGGCCGCAATTGAGAAGCTTGAAAAATATTTGAATGCTGGTGGCTTGTTTCTAAGGATTGCATAGCCCTTGCTATCATAACCGCCTGGCACAGTGTCACAGGCGGCAAAGGCCACAGACATAACTAGGGTCGAAACCACAGAACATGCTTGTGAGGTTTTAGCCACCCACTCTCCCTCGGTTTTCATAAGCTCCGTATGACTCTCTTTGAAAATGTCTTCCGGTGTCTTCATTTCCCTATTGTACTTTTCCAGCAAACCACGGGGTATTGAATCCTTCACATACTGCATCACCATATATAGATCCATCTACTTTAAATAATGATATGCTTTAATTTATTCATTAATAATTACGAATTTCTTGATAAAAATTTTAATTCCCATGCGGACTGTAGTACAAAATACATAGATACATACCTCAAACCAGTTGATTTCCTTTGACATGGAGAGTGCCTCCCCATGATTGAGCCAATCAGGCTCCACTCCAAGCCTTGCTGCCAAATGTAATGCATTGTTTCTGTCTTTATCTACTTGCCGAAACAAACTTTCAGTTGGCCATTTCTGTTGACATAAAAACCTGAATACAGTTGATTGCCTGTATTCTATCACCAGTAGAACTATATTCTTTCCATCCTCATTTACATCTTCAATCCTCGAGGGAAATAATTTCAGAATTTCCTTCACCATTTCTTCCACACCATTCTTGGCAGCAATCATTAGGGGTGTCTCAATTGTTATTGTACCAAACACTGGTGTTGCCATTGACATGGACCCTATCCACCAATGCCATTCATAGTCCCAATCACAAAATTAGTTTATGATTGCAAGCTATTTTTTGGTAGAAAAATATGCTCATATACCATGGCAAGAGTATATATTTAGGAAAAATGAGTATAAAAGAATTACAATGAGTGTGTGTGTGTGTGTATATATAGGTATATATTATGGATGAGAGTGGAATGAATGGAAGAATATTAGCTGAGTTAGTGTTGAACCCGTAGCGTCACAGCACATTCGTAAATAAACATCCAAGATAACTGCATGCGAGATTGTTCTAACCTTATAATATAAGGTTAGACCAGTATTATTTACTCGATATTTTATCTTTAATTTGGTGATAGAAAATTCACAAATGCATCATAAATCAGTCGTAAAAAATTTTTTGTGACGGTCATTGTAGGTGAATAATGATTTATGATTCTTAAAATGTTAAGTTCTGTACATGAAAAGTATATTCACAACGCTTTAACATGTTGGAATTTTCAAGAATGTGTTTTTACCGTTATTCTCTTTTGTTTGCAGTGAAAGCTGTTGAGACGCGGTTCTCGATATTATTTGTGACATATCTTCCTTAGAAGCAAGTTGAAGAAGTTCATTCATTATTTGAAGCGACCATGGGTGCTTCTCCTTCATTTTTTGTATCCGATGCAGCCATATTCCTAGGAATATCAAGGACCGGTGGGTCAGCAGGGACAAAGTGTTCTAAAAAAAAATTGTTTTTGAAAAAGCTATTTATAATTATATTATAATTAAAATGAAATATTTTCAATTGAGAGACTTTTTATTCCCAAAACGGTTTCTTTCCAGATTTAGATCTAACTTTCAACCAAACATGTCAAGAGACGGAGAGAAAAATATACTAGTACTTAATTAGATCTCACATGTTAGATGAGACACCCACTATTCCTCTCTCCCTTTTTGTTTATACTCAAAGTTTATCTACAGAGAAGCGTTAAATGTTGTCTGAAATGTTGTTTGAGTGGGAACATATATATGTATATATAGAGAGAGAGGGGTGTGCCAATGCTAGGAATATGCAGCAGATATATAGATAGATAAATATTGCACGCAAGTTATTCAGAGATAATCATTAATCAATACAATTTATGGAAACAGTTTCGGGTTCAATGCTCATCGTAATGATGAGACCGAAATCAGTTTCGGTGCTCATTATAGTAAGGAGCACTGTCATGGTCATTGTTGCAATGAAATCTATATCATTCAGATAGAGTTTTAATAGCCTAAATTTAAAATTTTTAACTAATAATTTTTAAATAAAAAATTATTTTTAGGAACCATACATTTAAGAAATTATATTTATTTTGGAGTGTGTGCCTTTTAAAGGAAAAAGGTTTTTAAGAAAATAAGAAAAATTAAATCTCGACCATCCATATTAAATTTGAATGGTTTAGATTTGATTAGCATTATGTGCTCATTACTGTGATAAGTACCAAAACTAGTTCTAATGATGAGCATCATTGTGGTTTGTATAGTTTAAATACAATTTTAATTGTTAGATTTAAAATTTTATTTAAATTAAAAAATATTTTTTTTGAAAAAGAAATTATTTTTATTTCATATTCTATGCACAATCAAATAATTTTTCTCAAGAATAAAAATAAAAAATAACGATTATTTAGGATCATCTAGATTAGATCTAGCTAGATGGTGCACAGTGGTCATATATAATGAGTTATAGATACTTATGCCTCCACTTGGCACTGAAACTTTAGTATTCCTCCGATCCATAATATAAGACCTACTTAACTAATTTGATTAGATTAAGAAAGTTAAGTAAGTTAGTTAATTATAATAAAAGTGACACATTTTTTTTTAAAATACCATAATCATCTTTCTTAATATTTCCTTTCCCTATTCTACTTGATTATGGTTGAGAGAGTATCCATAGGGGTAATTTAGAAAAAATTGATAAATATTAGAAATGGGCCTTATATTTAGGATTAAAATCAACTTAAAAATTGGGTCCTATATTAAGGATCGGAGGAGTATTAGATTTAGGATAGATGACACAATAAATTAATAAATATTAATTATATATAATTATATACTATATATAATATATATTAATATTAAAATTAAAAATTATATCTATATATATAATGTTAATATTAGGATCCAGAATTTTAGATAATTTGAATAAGAATTTCTATGATATTCCATTCCTACAAATAATATCAGCGTGCCTCTCTGTATGGGTGCGCGGGCCTATATATATGGTAGAATCAGGAACAGCGCCCACAAATATTTAAGGACGACCGGAATGTTTTCTTCATTTTCTGCAAATATTAATGAAGTCAGAAAATCTATCGGTGTCTTAACCATATGAAAATCTGTCAGGGACAAAATTGATGTTTTAAGAAATTTATTATTTAAAAAGCAATTTATAACTATATATAATTAAAATAAAATATGTTCCTCTTGGAACTTTCATGAATCTTTTTACCGTCCTCCTCTTCTGTCTGCACGGAAATTATATGCTCCGGATCAGTGGCTCTTCTCGATATTATCTGAGGCGACCATATCTGCTGGAGCCATCTCCCTAGGACTATTCAGGACCCATATGTAGGTCAGCATAGACAAAATGTTTTAAGAAAATTCATTATTCAAAAGCAATTTATAATTATATATACTTAAAATAAGATAAGTTCATTTTAGACTTTTTCCCGCAAATAATTAAAACCAAACGTGTAAAAAGAGAATGAAGAATGTGTTTTGATGGGTCTCACGTGTAAGGGGAGACCCAATTGTACTTCCCTCTTTCCGGTTTTATTTGTACTCCAGGTATATTTAGAAGAAAAAATTTGTTCTAATTAATTGTTGTGTGTAGTCAAGTAATCGATTGGGAAGTAAGATTTAAAAAAAAAATGTAAATCACACAAACATGCATGCATGTAAATGACATGGGGTACCTGTTTTAGAAAATAATAAAGGAGAATCATGCATAAGGATGAAATTCACAAACTTTTTCTTCCTAATGATTTGGCTTGAATTTTCACCGGAAATAGTAGTGTGCGTACCATGTTCTTGTGCTCATATATACCACTCCAGATCTTATTATAAGTCACTTTAGTGTATTTAATGATTGTTTTTTAATGCTATCTTCATTTAATTCTCATTGGAAAGAAAGAGAAATGAGAGAGAAGCGGGAATGATTTGTAAATACAGAGAAGGAGGGGGAAAAATTTAATAAGGGTAAATTTGAAAAACTTTATCAATTTAATGCATTCTTTAGCACGTGAGAATGAGTTACAAGTGGCTTATAATAAGGACAGGAATAATACATGATTTTCATTTAATACATGTCTTATGATTTTCATTTAAAATTCTCTCCTCTGTCGGTGTAAGAGAATATTAATCCAATACAAAAGCCTCACGAGTACCCATCATTCAATTCTCCATATATATTGCACTTATGAATGACAAAGCTTGTAAATATTATACTTACCTGTAACATACTCCTTCAATGTATCATAGATGACCTTCACGCACGGTTGGCGATCACGCTCCAGTTCTTCCTTCGTCGTGGCCTGGTTCTTCTTCTTAACTCCCACAATCCCTTCCAAGTACCAAACAAACAAGTCACACGTATTTTATTATTTAGATATATAAAGTATAATTTGCTGCATCGTCTTTATGATGAGACACATTCTAGAAATTTTGCTTGGCCCTTAATATAACAACAACAAATGATGGGCCTCATCCTTTTTAGCTGGCGAGTGGTGTGATTATTTTTTATTCAACTCTATAATTTTGAAGGCTTAATTAGATAGATACTAGTTCTAACTGCACTGAATAGAACTAGTCCGCAGCAGGGCATGCTCATCCCCAAGACAGCACAGTTTTGGGATGAGACCCATCTTTTTTAAAAAATTTTTTACTAATTTTTATTTTTATTTGTTTGTTTTAAATTGGATTCAATACTGTCAAATATTTTTTTTTAGAAGTGTCTAGTATTTTAAATTGATTGATTTTTAATGTATCGACACCCTAAAGTATATTTTCAAGAGTACTTAGTATCTTAAATTTATTATTTTTAGTGCATCCAGTATCCAAAAATATTTTTATAGTACCGAATATCCTAAATTAATTAATTAATTTTTAGTGGGTATTGGGTGTTACTGGGCAATAAACATTCATTAATTTAGAATATAGGGTACCACATAAAACATATTAATTGAAAAAAAATTTTGGGTGCACCAAAAATCTATTAATTTTTTATGCTGGGTGCTACTTAAAAAATACTTTAAGGTGTTAGATTCAATTAAATTCAAATAAACCAACAAAAATTAATAAAATTAAAATTAAAAAAGAAAAAGAAAGAAAGTTGGTATCTCATCCCCCGCTGCTGTTTGGGTGATGAGCATTCTTGCTCATCGATTGCTCTAAAAATTAATTAATTAATTTAGGATACTGGATTCTATAAAAATATTTTTAAGATATTGGATGTATTAAAAATTAATTAATTTAAGATATTGAGTGCTGCTGAAAAGATATTTTCGGTTACTGAATATACTAAAAATAATGAATTTAAAATACTGAGTACTCCTAAAAATATACTTTAAGGTACTAGATGTACTAAATATTAATCAATTTAAAATATTGGGTACTTCTAAACAATATTTTACAGTACTGAATCGAACTTAACCCAAATAAATAAAATTAAAAATTAAAAAGAAAGGGATGGGTCTCATCCCCAAACATTGCCGTCTGGGGGGTGAACATCCCCTGATGCGATGAGCAGGGCATGCAGACTCGAAGAGAACCTAAGCTGCCGTTGCTGAATGAGGATTTCTTAAGTAGGATGTTGCATTCTTGGCTATTAAATTATTGTCTAGAGACTGATTTATAATTGCACATACAAAACTATAGGTGCCAAATTAATGGTCAATTTTTGTTTGCAAATTAAAATAATGTTTAACTTTTATCTATATTTAATACACCATGCGTCTGTTTAAGTAAACTAATAAAAGACCATTGACCATTCAGTATAAGAAGGAACTATGGCCCACAAAAAAGTAAGAAGCCCTAAGCCACTGACATTAAAATAAACTTCTATAATAATTTTAAAACTTGTTGGGAGACCCTACTAGCCAAAGTGATCTTTCGAAGCTCGATCTGGATTAATCAGTTACTCAAATAACTGGTAATAGAATCAAGAAAAGGCGCTGGATACCAGGTGGCCCAAACAATTATTAAAAGAAAGCAAAAAAAAAAAATGATAGCAGGATTCCAGGAAAAGGCTGGCCAAAATTTTTGAACACCATTTATCAATTTTTTTAGAATTTTTTTTGGCACTAAGAAAAGTTTAGGTGAGTTGGATCCCAGAGGTTCACCAGAGTCAGGACATGCTTCTAGGTTCAAAGAGTGCTTACAGAGCTACTTATAGATCACCCACCAATAAGGTCCTCACATTGACAGTGAGATTCGAACTCGCAGCTTTGTGGGTTATAAATCGGTTCTTTACCAACTAAACCAACTCTTGTTAGTATTTTTTAGAATTTGAAAAGTAACGGAAGTTACACCTACCAAGAAACCCACAAACAATCATTGCTACTATTAACAAATCCAGCAGGCGATAAGATCTAGAACGTATCCAGTATTTTATTTAATGCAATATAATGCTCATGCGCAACTTATTGACAAAAATAAATATATTCAAATTAAAATGAAATATATATAAACATGAGTTTGTTGTTTATATTAAAAAAAATGAGTCATGTTTACATTTTCCTTTTGAGGTCGTTGTGTTTGGTTGGGACCGATTTTCATAAATTATAACTGAACTATATTCTATATTTCCCAATGACACCATTTCAATTAACTTGAAGAGGTAAAATTTATTTCTCTTGTTTTTTTAAACAAAATATTGGTTAAAAATATATTAATTTGAATGTACGGCAACATCAAAAATATAAGTACACCCACCATTCGATCAAGTTCAATTTCTACTGAGCCTTTGGTTACGGCGTGTGCGAAAGGGAAAGAATTAAGAATGTGTTTGGATAGGGATTTAAATTTAAAATTTAAAATCTCTCATTCAAAATTCTTGCATTTAAAGTCTTTTATTTAGGTGGCACAAAAATGAGTTTGAACTCCCCGTTGCTTATGTGGCGATTACTTAAAACTGATCTTTCAGAAGAGGAAAACGGGCAGTGGGACTCAATCCATTTCACTTCAAATTCCACAGGACTTCGCATGTTTGTTCCATCTCGCCATCCTTTGGGTGTATGTTCTTTACAACGAAGAAAATTGAGTCCACTTCAATAATTTACCACCTCTGGATACCTAAGAAAAATGGAAAATCCCTACACAGGCTCTCAAGGAAAATATGTAATTATTTAAAAAATCCCACAACAAATGAGTAATATGGACTTGTTGCCATTTCTTGCACCAGAACTTTCATCGTATATATGTTGCTCACTTGCTGTGTGATTTTCTTATGACTACATTCCTTTCTTGAAGTCTCATAGTGATTTTCTCTAAGATATGATTTTTGTGGGGAAGTTGTTGGTTTTCTATATTAATCCGCTTTTCCCTAGAGGGAAAGGTTTTATGTATTACTATTGATAAAGAAAATATGAAACGTGTTAATCATTTGCCAACTAGTCTATTAGCCATAAACATCTTGGGCATTACTTGTTGACGTCCTGATTCCAGACCATTATTAGTCAATATATTTAAGTCATATTAACAGACTATTTAGATAACTCTTCTAGTTATAAAAACATCCATGATCATTACCAGTTAATATTCTTCTCTCCCCTCAATTTATTTTCAAGTGCATGTTAAATTAAATTACTTGTTCCATGTTCAATTCATATTAAGGCAATATCAAGTCTCTTTTGCTTGGTACGTAATTGGTTGGTCAAAAGATGAAGGCGGGGAAAATAGAGCTACAGTGGTAGGTATGATCTAAAGTGCTTTTTTTGGGTTAATACAACATTTAATCCCTCAAGTTTGCATAAATTTTAATTTTAGTCCCTCCGGTTTGAAACCATGAGTTTTGCTTGTTCAAAGGACAAACTGGTTTAGGCTTTTATTAAATTATAAGGAACAATCTTCTATACGGAAAGAAAATTGAGAGGCGAAAGCCTATGGTTTGAAATTTGAAGGACCAAAACCAAAAATTAGAACAAACTTGAGCCATCAAAAATTATATTAGCACTTAGTTTATTACAGATGAATAATTAGCCTTTTATTATCACATTAATGATAAAAAATTATACTGGAAACGGTGGCTTAGCGAATTAGAATGGATCAGTCTTGAGAAAATCAAGAAAGAAAGAAGAGAAACCAGTGAAGAAGACAAAAGAAAACCAAAGAAGAAGGAAGAAAAGAGAAAGCGCGACGAAGAAGACGACCATGTTGCCATTATTGTTTCTTTATTTTAAACCCAAATCTATAGTTGTGTGCCCATTGACCCAAAAGCAATTCTTCCTCTTTTGCTCATGCTTCATACGCGTTTCGCTGACGTTGTCGAAACTGAAATTGCTTTTGATTTTCGTTTGGGATTTCAGCGCAATGAAGAAGAAATTAAGATGAAGGATGACGCGTGGTCCACTTGTTTTCTATATAATGGTTCCTTGTCTTTCTGTCTTCTCCACTCTTATCTCTGCTTCTTTACGATTTGGTTTGGGTGAAATCTCATTCTCCTATTTCTTTAGTAAGCCTCTGCTTCTTTGACATCATTAACTTCTTATTCGTCTTCTCTTTCTTTTTCAATTTTTTCCTTTTTTTTGGTGTCCTTGTTGCATGCACTTTTCGGGGTTCATGTTTGGTCTGGTCTTCCATAATAACTAGCGTGCACTTCTCAATTACGTCATTTGAATTAAATTTGGGAAGGGTTTAAATTTAGTAGTCATTTCAAATATTATAGGTTTTGAAAAATATATTAAATTCGTTTATTTTTTGTTGCTTTGGTCACGAATTTGACTGCCTTAATGAAATGACATATGCACGACAGGAAAAGAATTAAGAGCTTTATCGTTCCTCATTTATATTTCCAAGTCATTGTTTGGATAAATATTCGTTTACAAGGAAAATAGAGTTGTCTTCAGATATACTTTACCATTTGCAGATGTTAGAAAAATGAAAATCAATAATTCGCACATACAGTTTGGTTTAGGGAGTGCACATCCCAAGATGACTAAACAATCTTGCATGCGGTGGGTGTTGGAATGATTTTAATGTTGCATGTGTATTAGCATTAATCTATAATCAAACTTATTATCAAGTTGCAAATCATTATACTAAGTAATATTTCGTATTTCTATTTAACTTGTTTTGGATGTCATGTAGATATTTCTTGTTTGGTATTATATTTGCAAGAGACAATGAGTTCGTCAGTTGGCGCCCAGGAAGAAATTGTAAAGAAAATCAGAAGAAATGCTATGAGAGGCAAGTGGCAAGAAGTATTTGAAACATACAAGCAAGAAAGGGCACTTCGCACAGCCAAGATAACGGGGACAGGAGACACGATATTACACATGGCTGTGTCTAATGGACAAGCGAAGCTGGTAGCAGACGTGGTGGAGTTATTAGTTCTTGAAGAGAATAATCCACCTCAGAATAATGTAGTGGTTATAATGGAAGGAGAACGCGGGGAGAGCCAAAATATGGACATCGTCCTTGGGGTTGAGAATGATGAAAAAAATACTCCTTTGCATTTAGCAGCAAGAAGGGGCAACGTTGAAATGTGCAAGAAGATTGGTAGTAGAGTTCCCTCCCTAATTGCTAGACGCAACATCTCTGGTGAGACACCCCTTTTCCTAGCAGCTGTCTATGGAAGAAGAGAAGCTTTCCTTTGGCTTCATTATCAATATATGGGTAGTCCTGGAGTTTCTCCAACTGACTTTGCTCACTGTATAAGGGACAACGACGATACCATTCTTCACTGTGCGCTTGCAGAAGGGCATTGTGGTAAATTTAAACCAACATTCATTCATTCTTTTATATATATGTATGTATATATGTATGTATGTATGTATGTATGTATGTATGTATGTATGTATGTATGTATGTATGTATGTATGTATGTATGTATGTATGTATGTATGTTCTTAACATGATTAAGTACTACGGTGCAGATGTGGCAATAGAAATAATTCACCTTTATAAAGATCTTGTGAGAGGGACGAGACGCAACAAGGAAGGGTTGTCTCCACTTCATCTCCTAGCAGCAAAGCGTTTAGATTTCAAAAGTACTGACCTCCTTGAACTATCAATCCTTATTCATCCAATTTATGGTAAGGTTTGTGTCTGTAACGGGAATCCTATATGTTTGTGATTTTATGCATTTCGAGCTTGCCGCAACAACATTTGAAGGTTCCATTTTATAAAGTTGAATACGGTTGACATTTCTGCTTTGTTTTGCATGGCCTCATTTCAAAACCAAAAATAGCACGTTTGTCAAGAGTACAAATATGTATAAAGTCAAATATTCCACACAAATGGACCAATTAGATATACAAAACATTTCTAGAAATGACCCGTCAATACTTCACAAAATATATGAAGTTTTTTATATTAATGACCAAGCAAAATTTCTAGAATGTGTCTCATAATTAAACACAAAAGGCAGCATATTGTAATTAATATATATATATTGTGTAGTGGTAGTGGTAATAATAGTATATGTGGCTTGTTTGTTTGGGACTTCAATTTTAAGGGCTTTTGAAAGTTGAGGAGAAGAATCAGGCCACGACGTTCGAAGAGTTGCAAAAAGGTAAGTATGCTTCACGTTACTCCCTGGCTATTTTCTTTTGTCCACAAATGTGCATTTATTTAAATTAGCATCAGCTTAAAGAACTTGCCTTTTGTTTTAATTTAACAAATGGTGTTTGGGAATCGAGCAGGATATGGTTTATTGTTAAATACTACCTCCGGTCTTAATTATAAGAGCTAACTGACTAATTTGATGAGATTAAAGAAAGAAGTTAAGTTAGTTATCTGTAATAAATAGGTGTTGTCTTTCCTAAAATATCCTTACTAATCAATTGTGTTGGCCAAAACTACAATTATTAGAAGGACTATCTTAAAAAAATTATGTAAATATGAGAGATAAAATGGATTGGAGACTTATATATGGGACAAAAATAAAAGTCAAATAAAATCTCATATTAAGGACCGGAGGTAGTAATATGTTAAGACACTAACAAATTTTGTGAATTAATATTTACAGAAAATCAAGGAAACATCTTGGTCAATTATATGTTGCCGTGGTTCCTCCCGCTATTCCTGACGTTACTATTTGTGATGCAAGGTAGGCCATGTCATGCATGAGTGTATATATACAGTTTATTTAATGCCTATATATATATATATATATATATATATATAGGCACACTGATATAATTTGTATTATTGTTGAATGATTCATTCGAAATAACGTGCATGTTATAGATCTGTCCCTACATCTGCTGCAAATTCCCAGCATTGCATGAAAGTGAGCATCACCTAACACGTGAGACCCACCAAAGCAAATTTTTTTCTCTCTCTTTACATGTTTGTTTCAACTTTCAAGTTAGATCTAGGTCCGGAAAGAAATCGTTTTGGGAGGAAAACAGTATAAAATGAACATGTTTTATTTCAGTTATATATAATTATATAAGATTTTTTAGATAATAATTTTTTTAAAACATTTAGTCGTACTACTGATTATGTACAAATCTTGAATATATCCGACTATACCTTAAACAAGTTTATCTCCAATATGAGAATACAGAATAGAATTTAGCAATAGAATTCCATTCTATCACAAATTTTGTTACTAAAATTATTGATGAAATTTAGTGACAGAATATTTTTGTCGCTAATCTATTGCTAATTTTATTATAAAAGGATTAGTGACAGAAATTATCAATGATGAAATTTGTCACTAACTTCCTTCAGTAATTCATCACTAACTTTCATCACAAAAAATTCTGTCATTAATTAATTCTATAGCTAATTAAATTTTGTTGCTAATTTTGATTAGCGATGAAAATTTTGTTACTAAATTAAATCAATCACTAATTTTCTGCTTTTCTGTATAGTGAGCCGAATTATCAACACACTTCTTATAGGTATTTGAGTCTAAGCAGGAATCGAGATGATGACAACTCTAAATCTTGTTGTTGACTTTAACATATCCATCATTTCATCATTTACATTTCCAAAATAAAGAATATCTTCACTCTATATATATTTTTAGTTCAACAAAAATCAAGTGGGATATGCTTTATTATTGTATTAATATGTTAAGAGACTAACACATTTTATGACTTAATATTTGCAGATCTTGCAGACTACGCATTGGAATACTCTCTGCTATTCTGGGTGTTACAAGGTAGGCCATGTCATGCAAGAGCATACATACAAAGTTTATTTTAACTTAGAGTGCAAATAAACAGAGGAGAGAGGAATAGTGAGTCCCACCCAACACACGAGAGCCACCAAAGCATATTTTTCTTTGTCTCTTTGTATGTTTTGTTCAAGTTAGATCAAGATCCGGAAAGAAACCGTTTTGGGGAAAAACTGAAAAAGTCTAGAATGAACATTTTTTATTTTTATTATATATAATTATACATTGCTTTTAAATAATAATTTTTTGCAAATTGTTTGTCCCTACTGAGTACTGACTTATGTACTGAACAGTCCTAAGGATATGGCTCTCTATCCTGCAAAGAATGAAAGAGAGGCACACATGGTCGCTTCAAATAATGAGCGAACTTCTTAAGCATGCTTCTGATGAAGATATGTCGCAAATAATATCAAGAGGTGCCTCTGAACATCTTTCAATTTCCTTGCAACGAGAAGAACTTAATGGTAAAATGATTCATGAAAATTTCAAACATCAGTTTATAAAGCATTATATTTATACTTTTCATGTATAGAATTTGACAATTTAGCAATCATAAATCATTTTTCACTTGCAGCGATGGTTACGAAATTTTTATATCAAATTTATGACGTATTTTTAATTTTTTATCACAAAAAAATGAAACATCGAATAGATATTATAATTTTATTGTTATGCCGAAAACTAATTTTGTGATTTGGATTGTGAATGGCATTGATGGAGAGTCATAGTCAATGGTGGCACCAGCATCTGGTACAATAACAATTGAGACACCTCTAATGATTGCTGCCAAGGATGATGTGGTGGAAATGGTGGACAAAATTCTAGAATTATTTCCCTTGAGGATTAAAGATGTGAATCTTGAGGGAAAGAACACAATTCTACTAGCAACAGAATACAGGCAAACAAAGGTATTCAAGTTTTTGTGCGAACAGGAATGGTTAACTGAAAGGCTGTTTAGGCAAGTAGATAAAGAGGGAAACAATGTGTTACACCTGGCAGCAAGGTTTGGGGTTGAGCATGATTGGCTCAATTGTAAAGAAGCTCCGTCCATATCAGGGGAAAATAGCTGGTTTGAGGTGCGTATCTATCTATTTTTGCTACTAACGGGGTCGACATTAGAATACTCACCAAGAAATTCTTATTAATGAATAAATTAAAGCGTATCATTATTTCAAAGACTTATTTGATATCAAAATATCTAAACTTGGTAAGTAAATGGTAATGTGTCTATACATGGTGATGCAGTTTGTGAAGGACTCAATGCCCCGCGTTTTGTTGGAGAGTTACAATAAGAAAATGGAGATCTCTTCTGACATCTTCAGAGAGAGTCATAAGGAAATTGTGAAAAGTGAGATAGAGTGGGTGGCTAAAACCTCACAAGCATGTTCTATGATATCCACCATAGTTTTCACGGTGGCTTTTGCCACACGTGCCAATGTGCCAGGTGGTTATGATGCCAAAGGCGGCTATGCAGTCCTTGGAAGAAACAATGCATTCCAAAGTTTTGTCTCTTTATCTTTCGCGGCCTTCTTCTTTTCTCTCATCTCCACCATCTGCTTCCTGTCTGTGATTGCTTCTCCTTCCCCTTCTTTTTCCTGTTTGGGATATGTTCCTTTCAAGCTTTACATTGGCATGTACCTCATGTTTATCTCCATCATTTTTTTGTGGTCCTCTTTCTGTGTCGGTGATTTCTTCATTGACAATGTCCAAAGTCCAAAATTGTTCGCGATTCTTCCATTTTACGTTATCTCCTCATTGCTTATCATCATTTATGTTGTCACACAGCTCCCTGCATTGTTAGATACCCCAATGTCTGGCTCACAAACTCAATTATTTTTATATATTTTGATATCTTTTATATAGGTTTTGTCAACTTAATTAGTCATTTTGGCCTTAATTGATTGTTAATTGATTTAATATGTTTTATTTTGAATTATTATTTTATAGCAGCAAAATTGTCATATTTTGGTTTAATTGTGACTAATTGATTTTTTGAGAACAATTAATGCTACCTTATTCTTGAATTTTGTTTGCAGGTTTTTGAAAAATTTAAAAATAAAAATAAAAATAAAAAAGAGAAAATATATAATAAAAAATAATTTAAAAAAGTGAGCAAAACGTTGCGTTTTGCTCCCCCAAACAACCTACTATTCATCATCATCACAAGAGTGACATCGGCAGAAGTAAAAAGAGAGAGGCACGAGCAGACGGTGTGGACTGAGATGCAAAGAGATTCAGAACCAGAGGGAGAACACGAGACGACCAGGGGAGCTCGACGCACCATCCATCATCTTCTTCTCCTTCTCGACATGAACAGAGTGCCAGCAGCGTGAAGGATTGAGCGTGAACAGTGTTCTTTCTTGGAAGCTTGTAATAGAGTATTGATTGTGGCATTTTTTATGACAGATCGTGGCTTAATAATTCTCTAATTCAACAACAATGGAAGGAGCTCTGATCATCAAAGGGGAGTTTTGGTTGCTTTAATTTTCTGTCCAATAATTATTTAACAGTTCCTAGGTCTTAGGATAGTTATTTTGATTATTGAAAAATTTGTATTGTTAAATCTGATTATATTTGGAGATTATTGTGGCTGAATTATTGTTTAGCATTTAACATTATGCTGTTTATAGCTTTAATTTCAATTATAATATTGTGGTTATGACATTTGCATTGACTTTGGAGTTAATATATTGTGATCTTCTGAGGTGGTTTGGAATCTTGGATCATATTGTCTCTTGCTAACTTTAATTCTGTTATTTTGAATTTAAGAGTTATAATTAAGCATTGGTCTTTAGTATTCTTAATCTCATTTTACTATCCTGGTTGCAGTTAGTAAGTTGGAATTTTAAGAAAATATTTTATAGCAATTCGAGGTGGCTCAATTGTTGGATTAAAAGCTTAATTGTAATTCTTAATTCATTGTTTTAACTCTCGTATCTTTTGGAGTGAGGATTGTCTGCGTTGTTGAATTGGAGGATTAATTATTATCATTGTTATTCATGTGTTTCATTTTCATTTCTTTCATCTTCATTCATTTTAATCATTTTTATATAAAAATAAAAAAAGTATTTTTAATTTCAATTTAATTCATAGCATTTAGTTAGCAATTCATAAAAACAAAAAATCCTTTTTATAATTTAGGTTACTTGCATTTATTTACTACGATTTACTTTTGTTTTCAGCTCCTCAAAGTGAATACAACCCAGATTGCGCATTATATTACATTAATTCGGTTAATTTTTAAAGTAACCGGAAAGCGACAAATTTAAGAGCATTATTTCACTGGCTTTCGGCCAATTCCTACCCCTAGACACGTGGTCACTCCTCCCATTGGGTATCGAAGGACCAATAATGAGGAAAACGGTACAGATTTGAACCACCAAAATTAAGTGTGCGTCCAGCTTATATATTATTCAAACATCATCACTTTTATTTTAAAAGCTTTTGCGTGTGATTTCGTGTTTTTATTTCTTCTATGTTTGACATGTGTGTGTAAGCATATTCTAGCTCCGTCATACTGGAGTTTGACTTCTATAAGTATTACTCCTCCGGTCCTAATTATAAGACCCAATTGACTTATTTGAGGAGATTAAGGAAGTAAGTTAAGTTGGTGATTTATAATAAATAAGTGTTGTCATTCCTAAAATATCCTTGCTAATTAAGTATATTGGCTAAAACTATCATTATTAGAAGGACTATCTTGGAAAAAAATACATAAATATAAGAGACAAAATGGATTGGGGTCTTATAATTAGGACCAAATAAAAAGTCAAATGGGGTCTTATAATAAGGACTGGAGGAGTATATTGTTTTCAACTTCACTTGTATAACTTCATCATTGGGTTCTCATAGTGACCAACTTATCTTATTCAAATCTATGACCCGTATTGAGTAATTTAATTAACCGGATCGAGTAATTAAATAATTGGGATATTTATCACTTGTAAATGTCATGATGTGATTGGATTCAAGTTGAAGTGGGAAGTTTCACATCAAATAATGTTAGGTAAGTAAGTAAAATGTAACAAAATGAAGGGACTCATAAACTTAGGTTTTAGAATTTTAAGATGCAACATGATTCCACTAGCCTTCAGCGACGATTCCTAGAATCTCTTACCACTCTGCCACAAGAGTATACAGATTTTCGACCGTCGAAGCACTCGATCATATACAAATTTTGAAGGGCTGAGTATTTGAGACCATCAAAAGTGTCTGTAAAGCAAAGTGTCCAAATCTCCGTGACTCTACTCTCTCTACCCTAACCCCAGGTATTTCAAAGATGCCTCAAATGGTGTTTTCTCAAGTCTCCTAGAGGTGATCTCTCCTCTCTGCTGACACTTAGCTTCGATATTTATGGATTTGGATTTGGCGAGAGGCGAGATCAATGCCTATTTGGTAAGAAAATTTACTTTCCTTCTAGCCATCTCCCAAACCACACCCTTTCTAAATACAAAAATATAGCCTCTTAAGGCCCTCAAATTAAAACTCCCCCTAAAACAAAACCAAATTAAATTACAACATGATCTTCAAATGGTACATTATTGCAAACAAAGGACAAATAATAAAGGGTAAAAAGGTAACTTTACTTATTGTAATATTAAAAAAGAGTACCAAACATCATAATAAAATGCTGTGTGAAAAAATACATATAGACATTTCAAAACGGAGCACAAATACTATTTCCATTGATTCTACTTTGTCCTCTACGTCAGCGCTGTACATTCTTTTATCTTACCTTTGTCACTATCTGTGTCTCTCGTCCTTTCTCTCTCCTCTCCCCCCTCCCTCTTAATCTCTTATCCTTCGACTCTCATTCTCTCCTTCTGTTTTTTTAATTTTTTGTTAAAGTTTTTTCATAAAATTATATATTTAAAAGTTATTTAAATAAAATAATAATATTTGTACTTAATTTTTGACGGCCTTTATTATTAACAACTTCAAAGTCTCTTTAATTAACAATGTGTGTATATGAATATATGTACTACTAGTATCAGATGAGAGACGACCCATGTTTTAGTCCTTTCTTTGTCCCTCTTTCTAATACTTGTAAGGGTCATATAATGAACAACTTCATTAGAACACCTTCGGTTTTCATCTGATGCCTTTGCAAAACAACACCTTCACTGGACACAGCAACTTGATCTCTTCGTTCAAGCTGTCAACTTGGTGGCCCGGTAGTGCAGATATATTCTCACACACACACACACTCCTTGTTAATCAACTTCCAACACTTTTTCTCTCCCCTCCCCTTTTCTGTCTCTCCCTCTCTCTCATGTTATCTCTCATACTTCCTTCAGGTATCCTCCAATGGCTGCCAAGAGAACTCCAAGCCCCAGACCGACTTCATCTTCAGATTCATATTTCTCCACATCTACATTCCCAAACACCTTCCTCTTCATTCTTGCTGCTTTGAGAATCTCTCCAAATTCGGATCCGTCCTTGCCTGATCAATGCTCCCGTTGGTGATATACATACTTACCACAACGTTGAGCTCACTGTCACATCATATTCCTCATCTCTAACCCCCCATTATCAATCCCCACCACCGGCAGTACAGTGTATACGGCAACGTCAACACATTACTTGGTGTCTCATTAATCAGGTCTCTCGGAAAGGACGCCACTCTCTACTGTCATCATTTTGCTCCCCACTAAAAAGTCGATGACAGTGAAGCGGAATTGTCGCAGGCGTGCTTGATATGTTTAGTCGACAACTTATATTGGACCATGGCGGTTGGTGTGAGGATAGAGAGAAGAAGGAGAGAGGGAAAGGATGAGAGCGAGACATGCAGAGCCGAGAGTGGTCGGTTATGGGGCTTGGTGGGGGGAAAGAGAGAAGAGAGATGGGGAAGGATGAGAGGGGGAGAGAGATTGACAAATGTAAGAAAGAGCACTAAGCTGATCTGACAAAGTGGGTCCCACCAAATAAAAAAATAACAGATGCTTGAAAGAATCAACTGAGGTAGTATTTTTTAATGTTTTAAAATATTCATATGTATTTTTACATCTAATATTTTATTATGATGTTTTCTGCTCTTTTTTGATATTATAATGAATAAATTTACCCCTTCATCTAATAATAAATGTCAAATGTCATGAGCCACAAACAAGCTTCCAAAATATATAGAAGTATTTAATGTTCGGTCATTTTTCATAATGTCCACAAATTTTCACAGCTTTGCTTCAAACATCTGCACTGTGAAGATTTATGGTTTTTCAGGTTGACCTCATCAATCGAAGAAGAATTAATGGCAAACAGATACATACGCAACTCAAACCAATTGATTAGTTCCCTTGATATGGAGTATGCTTTCTGTCACGACTATCCCTTATACACCAATAGAGTTATTCTGTTCAATCTCTAATCATTAAAAGCTAGGTTCCAATTCTTGGGAAGACTTTTTTTTTTTAAGTTCCCAAATACGAAGTCTGTCAGTCTGATCCTGTTCAAGGAATGGGATTTTCTGAAAAGTTTTAAATCTTTCAAAATTTACTTTCAAAGTAACCTGTCTAGTAGTTTGAGTACCCAATTTAACCCTTTTACAAAAAACGGTAAAAACCGTCTAAGACCCATGGTTCATATTCAACCATCGAACCCATTCTTTTTCCGTCCAACCTTTTGGATCCCATATCAAATCAATTATAGCCAGTAGGATCTAACATTCAATATTCTAACCATAGGCTTGTACAACGAGTTACATATACAGATACATATAATTTTAGACAAAATAATAACTATATATCAAAATATTGATCATTGCCTTCAATAGTAGTTACCATGGTTTATCTACCCTTAGCCACCTCCTTATGGAGGAATATTTACATACCAAAATAGATATACAATATATCTTCACTTCAAAATAAGATGCATTTTAAGCAAAATATATATACACACAAAAGATCGCCAGCTACCTGCACCTTTAAACTCCACCGATCACTACTTCCTTTGCCTTTAGGAGTACTTGCTCTTGCTGTATTACATAGAAGAAGGGGTGAGATTCTAAAGAATCTCAGTAGTAACAAATTTCCTTCACGTAATCATACAAGATCACAAACAACATGCTACACAAGCCAAAGAGAACAACACCTTGCATCCAAATATAATCAATGATGCACATACACCATACACCCATATAGCCAATCGCTATCTATTGCGCCCACATTCCAAAATAAATGAAAACCAACGCATATTGTCATGACAATTATTATCATGCAAAGGCAACTTACATGTTCTCATGCAATATTAGCATAAAGGCACATCCAAGCATATGGCAATCAATGCACAATCACATTAAGGGAAAAGAGTTACTACCTTTTGCGTTTTCTTCCGCACTAACTTCCCCTTGCTTCTTCCTTGGCTCTCTTTTTGAGGATTTGAGCAAATATCAAATCCTATAAATTATATGGGCAAGGGCAGATTAATATTTATATGTATATCATTTATTCCTAGTCTCCAAAAATAATTCAGCAACCTTGCTAATCTATAAACTTTTTTTTTTCCAGATTTCAATATCTATCTTCACAATTTAAACAATTTTGGATAGCATCCCACGCTTCCAAAAATATTTTAATATGTCTACATTGAGGTTTAATCATCTCTCTTTCCTTCTTATATTTCACGCCACATTCTTAAGCAAATCTGGAAAATTTTTCCAGATTTGACATGGACAACAGCCAAACACCCACCCACACACATATACATATATCTCTTACATCTCCCTTTTTTTTTTTTGTCATTAAACCTCACGGCCTTTCCTCCAAGATATCCTATAACATTATTTAATCTTTATAATCATACTATTCCTATTCATTCACCTTTCAAGTATCGAACCCATGCCATCCGCATAAAACAATGAAGGTATTGGTTCAAAGACATCTTCGAGAATGTCATTAAAATAGAATCAGCCCAAGAGCAATTTCCTATATATGTGGGTCATAAAACCTGTCTTCAATTTCATCAATATTCAGCCTTATACCCAAGGAAAGAGAAGTCCGAAGCTAACCCCCTGAATCAACCATCCCCTGTTTCGGCAATCAGGTACCAGAAAAAAAAAAACACATACAGCAGCATAAAAGTGCAGGACTACTCTCACACAACTCCAAATTTATGCTTCGGTCAAAGCTTTCATGCGATTCTTGAATTTCTCTCCCTAAGGCAGGATTTTTATTTATTTCTTCCACTCCCATAAAGGCCCAATCAAAGAAAACAAGGATAGACGAAAGCTTGAAGGACTCACCTTAATCAGAAAAGCACGCTTACATGCAAAGAAAACACCTCTGATTCTTCCTCGTGGTCGCTCGTCTTCCTCTCGTCCTTTCAAGCTTTCTCTGTTCCTTCTCCTTTTAAGGCTTTGTTTGGTTGGAGGGTTTTTGAGGTGAGAGGAGGGGAGGGGAGGGGAGGGGAGGAAATAAATGTATTTGGTTGGGAAAAATAGAGGGGAGGGGAGGGAAGAAATTTGTCTTTTAGTGCTCCCCTTCCCTCCCCATGCTCCCCTCCAAATTTAGGGTTTTTTGGAGGGGAGATAAATATTATATCTAACATTGACTAAATTACCCATTCTAACTGTTCAATATTCCAAGTTTGTCTATCTTATTAAAAATCTTTTTTTCACTTCTTTCTCTTTTTAGTCACTAATAATATTTGATAATTATAATACTATAATATATACATATCATATATATTAGTATATACATACCATAACATGTGTGTATTATAATTGTATATCATAGCGTCTGTATTATAATCTCAGATAACATGCATATATATTTATATATATATATATATCATAACGTGCGTGTTATAATTATATAATATATACATATCATATATATTAATACATATATTTATAAAATTAATGAGATAGAATATTAAATTTTTTTATCATATTTTCTAATTTTTGAGTTTTATTTTTTTTATCACATATAAGTGAGGTAATTGGTTTTTTTAAAATTGATAAATTAAGAAATAACAATTTTGACATAAATATTGTAATAAAAAAATAAATCAGTCTAAATATAGAGATAAGAACATATTTGTCAATTTATAATTACCTCCCCTCCCATTCTCTTATGAACCAAACAAGAAATCTCCCTTTCCCTCCCCTCCCCTCCAACCAAACAAAACCATGACCTCCCTTCCCCTCCCCTTCCCTTCCTCTAATTAACCTCCCCTCCCCTCCCTTCCGCCGAACCAAACAAAGCCTTATTCAAGTCGGTAGCAGAGGAGAATGAGAAGGGAGGAGGCATTTTTGGCAGATTAAAAGGGACAAGGGATGTGAAATAACCATCATGCCCTTTGGTCTTTATTTTCTTTCAATTTGATCCTTCTCTATTTTCTAGGAAAATCAAATAATTCCAGAAGTCAAACTTGGACTTTTTATATAAATTTTCTTCTTCCATTAGCTTCTTTAGTCCATGAAATAATTATTTTAAAATCTCAGCTCAAAAATTATCCTCTAACTATTTTTCTTGAATTTTCCAAGAATATAGGTCCTAAATTCTTGAAATTAACTTTATAATTATTCAGATCATATTTTAAGGGTCTTAATCTCAACAATTTCTCTAAAATTTTCTCTTTTATCATGCTTTAGTCAAATCTATAAAATTTGGGATATTATACTTCCCCAAGATTGATCCAATGAGGGTCGACTCCAAACCCCGTTGCCAAGTGCAATGCATTGTTTCCCTCTTTATCTACTTGCCTAAATAGACTCCGACTTAGCCATTTTTGTTCGTACAAAAACCTGAATACCTTTATTTGCTTATATTCGGCTGTTAGTAAAACTATGTTCTTTCCTTCATCATTTACATCTTCAATCCTCGATGGAAATAATTCTAGAATTTTTTCCACAATTTTTATAACACCGTTTTTTGCCGCAGTCATGAAGGGTGTCTCAATTGTTATTGTGCCAAACTCTGACTCTGTCCGCCACAGTCCAAATCATAAAATTAATATATATATATATATATATATATATAATAGCAAGACCTTTTGACAGACAATTAGTATATAATTACTCAATATTTTATCTTTTGGCGATAGGAATTCACAAATCGTCATAATTTATCGTAAAAGATTTTGTGACCATCATTAATGCAGGTGATGAAGAATGATTTATGATTCCTAGAATGTCAAGGCCTATATATGGGAAGTAACATCTTGGGATTTTCATGAATCCTTTTATTTACCGTTATCCTTCTCTGTTTGCAGGGAAATTGGAAGCTGCTCAGTGGCGGTTCTTGATAGTATTTGTGACATATCTTCATCAGAATCATGTTGAAGAAGTTCCTTCATTATTTGGAGTGACCATGTGCGCTTCTTCTTCATTTTTCGTAGAAGCCAACTCCCTCGCAATACTAAGGACTTGTAGGTCAGTAGTGGGGACAAAATGCTCTAAAATAAATCATTATTTAAAACCAATTTATAATTATATATATAATTAAAATAAGATATGTTCATTTTATTAGACTTTTTCCCCCACAAAATGTTTTTTTTTTCCGGGATCTAGATCCAACTTAAACTAAACAGAAAAGAGAAAAAAATATACTTCGGTGGTTCCCACTTTTTTTTTGGGGGGGGGGACAGTTTGACGAATCATACTAGTATATATGCGCATGATTTTATTGAGTAAACGGAAAATGTATACATTTGATTTTTTTTTAACTTTATATAAGGTTTAGTTTAATCTTTTAAGTTTAAAAAATATATTTTTAGTCCTACTTGTTTTAAAATTATAAATTTTGGCAACACTTAGGGTTGTTTTTAAAATTAACTTTAATATTTTAGTATTTGAGAAAAATTTATCAACATTTAAATTTTAATACATTAATATTATCATTTTTTTAATTAACATTTTTAGAGGTAAATACTAAAAATATGCATTTTTTAAAGTTAAAGGACTAAGCTGAATCTTTATATAAAATTAAAAAACTAAAAATATACTACCTCTGGTTCTTAATATGAGAACTAATTAACTAATTTGAGTATATTAAGAAAATTAGTTAAATTAGTTATTTGTAATAGATAGATGTTGTCTTTTCTAAAATATTTTTGCCAATCAAATGTATTGACTATAACTGTAATTATTATAAAGACTATCTTGAAAAAAATGAATAAATACAAGAGATAAAGTGGATTAGGGTTTTATATTTAAAATTAAAATAAAAGTCAAGTAAACTCTTATATTAAAAACAAGAGTATATACTTTTGACTCAAATAATAAACTGTCCAGGTATGATATGGGGTACCTGCTTCAGAAAATGGTAACAGCAGCCGGATTATCAAGAAGATTATCAGCAGAAATGGCACGACTCACACGTAGGCTGGTATGAGGACCGGCAGCAGGAAATCGGCAAACTTGGTGGCCAAAATATCTATTTGATTTTCTGCAAATATTAAGTCACAAAATTTGTTAACATTACTTCGACGCCTAACATTTTTGTTGAATTAAGAGAAAGAATGAAGATAATCTTCATATGTTGGATATGTAACTCGATCAAATAAAATCATCAATCAGTTTTTCTTTTTTTGTTTTGCCAAAAAATCATCAATCAGTTAAAGTCAACAATAAGACTTATAAACCCTATATTTAGTACGAGGGAATTGGAAGGAAGGGAATGGAAGAAAAAAATTCTAATAAGCATGATTTAAAAAATTGGAGAAATGTGGTTATAAAATTTTGATAAAGAGAATAAGGTGAAATTTTACGTGAATCTCATAAGGATTCAAATCCTTGTGTGAGTTCAAAATAATCTAATATACGAATAGATATGGATCACAATATAGGAAAAGTTCTAAAGGATTCAACTTTTCAGAAGCATACATTATGTTCCCAAGAACACTATTCAATCAAGTTAAACAAGCCTCCAAACAAGTCTTTATATGGAGGCATATGTGATATAACCAATTTAGTAAATATCGGTTGAAACAATGATATAAAAATATTTCAAATTGCTCATGTATAAGAAGATCTGAATATGGGTTTATTATGTTGATGATATAAATGGCATCAAAACTTAAAAAAAGTTTACAAAAGCAGTAAATTGCTTTAAAAAATTTGAAATCAAAGATTTGGAAGGAATAAATATGGATAAGTCACATCTATTATGTACTCTAATAGTTACAAGATCTTTTGATGTGGACTAAAAATCCATTTAGATCTCCAGAAGGTGGTAAATAAATACTTAGTCAAGAACTAATCATTTCTTAGTGTTACTAGAGCACTTATATATTTAGCTAGCCACACAAAACTTGATATATCATTTGATAATTAGCATGATATAGTCCTTCAAGAATACGAAGACATTGAAATGAAGTTAAGCACATTCTTCATTACTTTAAGGATTTGGAGGTGATATTATCTCAA